TTCCTTCACACAGAAATTGACGGATGAGTATGTGAAGAAACTTGATGCCATATTCAAACAAAAAGAGAAGGTAGTACCTCCATTTGATTATCTACTACATTTGCGAACATCTGCGTTATCTACAGCATAATTGTAGTGCATGCTGATTCTAATGTTAACCTAAGTCATTCGATGATTTTTTCGCCCACTACAGAATCAAATCTCGAAGTTTAACGTAAATTACAAACTGTGTTTCAGGAGTTGCTGAAGGTTTAGTGATTGTTCATGCGCTGATGATGTAAATGGTTGAGCTTCTATATCGAAACCTTTATAGGTGTTCCTCTTCCGTGTGCGGATAATTTGCAGTGCTGTTTATAACCCTCCACCTCTACAAAGCACCTTTTTGAGATAACCAGACATTGGAAAATACATGCAACTGTTCAGTTGCAAGGCTTTCAAATTTCAATCAGAAGTCTTTATATTCACAGTTCACTGCCATTGTTATTATTCTCGTAAAATAATGTAGATTTTCATGAAAAGGAAGAGAAAAACTTGTGTAAGGGCATACTAACTGCATCATCCGTACGATAGCTCTGGCAAAGGTATAAGACCTCTATATTTTGGTCTCATCCGATTTCATGTCAATTTAAGAACTACCCTAGTCAAGCAACTTTCCGAAGTTTCCCTCAAAAAGGAAAGCAGTATAGCATCAACGTGAAGCTTGGCTTATCTAGGAGAACCACTTCATTAGTCGTAACATGGCATTTGTCCCATCGTTCGATTCGTTGTCTTGTGACCCTACCCTAGAAACCCACAAACCCAATCCAACCTTACCCTACCCTCCAATGCATAAAGAAGAAAGAAAAGGCATTTGGTGATTTGGTCCCGTCATATAGATATTCTTCCATACAACCCTATCTAGAAACATTATTTTACGTCAAGTCTTTCGTTAGCTCAAAGTATTTCATGTCATTTTTTAGAGTCTCTTTCCAAGTCTTTCTAGGTCTTTCTCCACCTATTTTACTTTGAGTCTTTTTTTTTACAATCGCATCTTCTGATCAGAGCATTTATAAGTCTTTAGTTTACATGTCAAAACCAACTTAACTGATTTTCTCTCATCTTATCTTCAATTGTGGTCACTCCTACTTTACCTTGAATAACCCTGTTTTTAATCTTGTCCTTTCTCGTATGCCAACACATCCAGGAAAATATTCTCAACTATGCTACACTTATTTTTTATACGTGTTGATGCTTGACTTCCCCGATCCATAACTTTTCAGAATAAATTCAACATGCCATTGGAAAATCACCATTTTAGGGCCATCACTTTTTTCCTTGGCAATAAGGGTTGCATTGGTGATTGCTACTTTTTTTCAGTTCTAGTGAGTCCTTTTCAGTGTATATATGCAAAAGAAAGATAAGATAAAGTTTTATTTGCTTTTAATTATTTGACTACTCACAAGTCATATTCGTCATAACTCATAAGCCTCTTTCCAGATATTTAATCCAAAGAACTCCTATGTTTGGCCCACTTTCATCGACATACACTAAATAAAAAATCATTTTCACCATGATATGTTTTCACAACCAATACGAAAGCTAATTTCAACACACTATTTTTCTCCATATGCACACTTTACATTTGACACGAGTGACCCATTAATTTAATAGGTTAGTTTTGAGTGATCTGTTAACTTAATATATCAGGTTAAAACTGATCCAAACTCAATAAAATCGATCTGTTTACAGGTCTTATCAAAGCAATGTATCTTTTCTTCTACACTTAAGCTTGAATCCCCTCTCAATAGCTTAGATTGAAATAACCAGTTTAGATATGGCTCGAAGGAAAAAAAAATTGATGAAAGTGACTTTGATTAAATATATTTCTTCATGCTATTAACAAATTGAAAATGTAGCAATTGCATGTTTGATGCTTCTTTTGGAAGCTGAAACGCAAAATATGCATAAAATTTTGCAAAATAAACATTTGAGTTTGAAGTTTGAACATTTGTCCGGAGTTCTTATCGATCTCAGCTCAAAAACAAATAGTATATCCAGTCTCTTCAAAGTTTCAAACCCTAAGCCAACCATGAATTCACCACTAAATTAAAAAATAAATAAATGTTCACATTTTAATTATTAAATTGTACTACTTTCCTTGACCACGACGACCTTCTCGACCAGCTGTGTGATTTTTATTTAAGGAAAACTACCAAAAAGTTCTCAAAAATTTTTAGTTTTGATAAAAAATGATAAATAAATGTGTAAATGAATAGTACCAAGAAAGATAAAAATGTGATTTTTCGTTAAAAATGAACAGTACTAGGAGTGTTTCGTTAAAACTCTCTTTTATTTGTAGGAAAACTAATTAAAATGGTTTGAAAACTTTGAGTTTTAACGATAAGGACAAAATAAATGGTAAAGTGAATAGTACTATGATTATTTTTTTAGTGTAAAAATATGAATTTTCGTTAAAGCGAATAGTACTAGAAGCTTTTCGTTAAAATCCTCTTTATTTATTTTAGGTATAATTATTTAATTATTTAATTTTTAATTGGAAGCTGTGGGGTGCTTATTTTTAACTCATTACCGTTTCCAAAAGTGCTTTTGTACAATGTGGAACATCAAAATGCTTGCCACATTAACAAATAATAATAATTCCTTCCACACAAAAATATGACTTTTGTCGATCCAAACGGCTTGCACTTTGGATCTAATTATTAAATATTTGTTGTTATTTATTTTATTAATAAGGTGCCACTAGGATGGATGATCTTGTCTTAACCCACTAAATACAATGTTCTTTCCCAATAAAGAATTTATAATAATGTTTTAGTTGTACAAGCATATTAATATGTTAAAAAAAAATAAGTGGAGGATAGCTCAAGTCAAATTACAATAAATTTAGTATAATTAGGCTTGTTTGGAAGTATTTTTAAAATAATGAAAATGTTTTGGTAATTTTTTTTTGAAACTAATTCTCAAAAAAAAAAAAGTGCAAGTGAATCATGAAAACTTCATGTAAGAAGCACCAGGAAGCACTTTAAGTACTTTTGGAACTCAAAAATATTTTCTCTAAAAGCACTTTCAATCATTTTAAAAGTAGTTCCAAACAAATCATAAACCAGTTTAGTAAGTTAGCATTATGTCAATAGTGTGCATGGTAAATAGTGTGCGTGAAATGCTAAGGAAACTCTCTTTAATTGAAACTCTTTATGAACTCTATCAACTCACAATTTAACGTCAATTCACGTGCTAACATTATAAAACATTATACAATAAATGAGGTGATAAAGAATCCCATTTTTCAGAGACTCTCCTTAGCCTTCTTATACTACGCTTTTCTATTTATATGGTCATAGTTCATATAAAATTTTCTAAGTTCCCAAAACATCATCTAAGAATTGACAACTGATGATTCCCACCAATAGCATTTTGACACGTGTTAATGAAGGGCATTTTTAGAGATATTAATGTTTCACCATTTTGTAGCGCTAATTTATATATAAAAGTACATTATGAAATATTAAACACGAACAATATTAGATACCGAAAATTAATGTGAATATACTTAATTTTTTTATTCCTTGGTTGTTTATAAACATATAAATAAAAATCATACTCATTCCTCGAGGTTTACTAACTTCACGTATTACTTAACAAGAAAATTTATGGGAGATGTCAGATGTGCATGCAATTAATTAAGGATTAACATTAAAAAGTATTGTTATGGAATAAACAAGGGTTTGTTTTGTTCATTATTTTATTTGAAAAAGAAAACAATGAAAAGGGAATAAAATATGACTTTTCTAGTATTGGGCAAGTTGGGTGGATTCCTTTCTTTAGTTTTTTCTGGAAGAATGCGTACTCAAACTGTCAAACACAAGTGTTGAAAAGCCAAAGAAGCATGCTTTTTGTTTAAGTACTTTTTTTCTTTCTTTCAATTTAATTAAACAAAAGAAAGACTAAGCAATTAGTTTAAAATAAAGAAAGAACAGACTTGTGCAGCCATTAGAGAATTATGATACTGAATAGGGGCTTTTGATCACCACGCTTAAGTAATGATGATACTCATTATCGTAGTTATTAATGTTAGATGATTTTAACTTTTAAAATTATGTATAGATAGACACGAATATTAAAATTTAAACGCATTTAACCGTGATAAAGAAAATGATGATCATTACAAATATTTAAGAACGGTGAATAAAAATGCATCCGACTGATAGTACTTTATTGTATCTTTTTCTAGTTTATCTTTAAACTAATGTTTTGCGTTGATCTCCATCTGGTTTTTCTCAATAATATATTGCGTCCATTCATCACCATTCTTTGTCCTTTTAAAAGCAAAAATACAAGCATACAACAATAATTAATAAAGTGCTACTGTTGTTTTTAAATTATATGAAAGAGGAATTTGCTTCAAAACAAAAGAAAGAGGAATTGAATTTAGGACCTCGAGTGCAAGGTTTTACTATTAACTATTTGAAGTGGAAACTCTTTCTTAATCAATAAGTTCATTTATACAATCAATATGCTATTTTAAATTAGGACAAACTGTCGTTGTACTCTTTCAATTATTATCCTAGTTGAAATTGACCCTTAAACTTTTTTTTGGTAAGTTAACCTTGAATATTTGAAATTAGACAATTAACCTCTCATCGTTAGATTCGATGAAATTTCATTCATTGTCAAATACTAGCACGTGATTTACTCTTGAAGGTAAAATTGTGTCCAGTATTTGAAGGCAAAGTGGATGAAATTTTACTTAATACAACGCGAGGCATTAATTTACTAAAAAAATAGTTTAGGAGATTACTTTCAGTTGAGATAATAATTCAAAGGTCAAACGACGCTAATTTATTGAATAAAATCAATATGTATGTAACACAATGTTTTATTCAATTTTTTTTTTCAAGAAATAAAATTCATAAACCCCAATATTATAACACGTCATTTTACCATCTTATTTCTTTTATGATACAATCAACGAGTTAATTATTGCAAAAGAGTGACCATCGAATCCACAAGATATCAAATAGAATGATATATGCGATTCTCACTGCATGGGGCATATCTGTATCTGCACGCATAGTTAGAGAGAGAGAGAGAGAGAGAGAGAGATTCTGTCTTCCATTCTGTGAGTTTTGATGATCATGGAGAGAAGCAGAGAAACAAGAAGGCCAACCATGGCAGCAAGCAAAAAACAGAAGAGAATCGTGAGAGACCAGAGCCAAAAACAGAGGAGGTACAGAGGAGGAGATCAAGATCAAGAGAGCACAGAAGAGAGCTTGGGTTTTTCCGACCACCAAGCTCCGCCGCCGCTAAAGGCTGCCCGTGAAATGATCGGAGTTTCAGTTCCCAGAAAAGCTCGCTCAGGTAAACCAACGTCCAAATGCACTCTCTTGCTCTGTTTTTGGAATTCGTATGCAAATTTGATATCCTTTTTGCAGCTGCTGGAAAGAGGTCGCATGAAAATTTCTCTTCTGGGAGTCATGGAGGAGTTGGGGAGGAAGAACGGAGTCTTCAGCAGCTGAGATTCAAAGCTGCTTCGCTTTCTTTCTCAAATGTTTCATCGAGGAAGACGATGGTCAGCTAGTTCTCTGTTTTTCGAGAAACAAAATTATGATTTGAAGATTTTTTTGGAAAGCTTTGAGATTTGAGCTCATGAATTCATATTTTGCAGAAACCAAATGGACCCAAGATTCGGATTCCAAACCTGTCGAAATCTTCAGGGCCTGTAGAAGAGGAAGACGCCATTGAGATTGAGATCGCTGAGGTTCTCTATGGCCTTATGAAGCAAACCCAGAATTCGAAAACATGTAGAAATGGTATTAGTGACGGTTTCCTGTTTTTTATTTTTTATACAAGCGGTGTTCTACTTTAAAAACAATCTAAATTGCAGGGAGGGAATACGAACTGAGCTACATGGGGACGCGCATCCGCTCTAGTCAATATGGCTACGCCCACGTCTGAGTCTAATGATTTTTCTCTTTCTCTGTTTGCATTTGCAGACTCCGAGGAGAAGAAACCGGATGCTGAAAGTGCTTCAATGGCGGTTCAAAGCAGCTCAGTGGCTGAAGCAATTGAAGTTGAAGAAAGTGACCGGCCGGAAAAGATTGAAGCTTGCTCTGAAGGTGCATCAGGGTCGATGGACTCGCACGAGGAGAAAGCCGGAAGTCCATACGTGGAAGAAAAGAGCAGCATCGCCACAAAAGCCGAGTTTCCGTGGGAAGATTCGACGGGGACAAACGCGTGAGCATCAAAGAATCTTTGCTTTTGCTGCTTCCTTTTTTAGTTTGATTGATTCCGTAAACCCGAAAGCGAAATCTGATTAGTTCTTTGTTTTGATGGGTGGAAATGGTCAGGATTTCAACTGGGTTGGAGCTTAAGAGGAAGGGAGAGGAGGAAAGGTTTGAATTTGATCTGATGGTGAGTTCTGGTTTTTCGGGTTTTCGCTTTTAGTTGCCTTTAGAGTAATGCCTGTTTATCTGCATTTTACTGATGCGCTGGGACCGGATTTTCGACCAGGCTCCTCCGCCTGTGGAGCAGGATGACGACTTGACAGATTCTCCACCCCTTACCCAAGATTTAGATATGGTAAGAGGACTCACCCGTTGAATTCTTCAAGGCTCGTTTGATAACTATTTCGTTTTTAGTTTTTAATTACTCATAACTGTTTTTGCCTGGTTTTAATGCAGAAGATTGAAGTTATGGTCAAGAACGAAGAAAAAGGGGAAACATTTGCGGAGGAAGTCCTGCTAGAAAAATCGCAACAGAAGCTTAAGGACAATCCAAATCAAGATAGTACCAGTAAATCCACTGCGACGTTGCAGGTTTCCATTCTTTTCGCTACGCCAAAACTTTCCTTTTTCTTTTGTTTTCTTGAATTTTTAAGGCTGAAATTTGCTGCTGTGCAAAAATGCAGCCTTCCGATTCCCTTCTGTTTCAGCTGCGGCGGAAGAGATGCGCAAGCCACCGTCACATTGCTCACAACATTTACTTGCATCAGAAGGTTGCGAAGACAAACGATTTCTGGCCTGCAGCAACTGGTTCTGTTCCTCTTTGTGGCACCAAGCCAGACATCCCATTGCTGGGAAGCTTATCAGGTCCAAATCTTCAGCATTCGCAGAAAAAGGAGCAGGCTGCGTCGAAGTTTTCAAGTCATAGTGGAAAGGAAAGAAGTTCTGAGGCTACGAATTTCGTAGAGACATCACATAAAATGCAGCTTTCAGTTCAGCCAACCTATGCTGGTGGTCAAATGGTATGTATTCTACACCATTTGCATTACAATTTTCGGTTGAGCGGATGTAAATCAGCAAGTAGTGTTTTGAAAATTTATCACCGTTCTTTCTTAATTGTAGCATGGACATACTTTCGCGGTTGAGGATCAAACAACAGTTACACCAACCAGTAATCAATCTGTCCCGTTGAAATATGCGCAATCAACAAACAATGCAGCACACTCTAGTCATTCATCTGCTAGACCTCTGGAGAGTTCTTTAGTGAACTTTAATGGCTATCAATTCCCCGTTTCAACTCATATAGGAACAACACCAGTGTTTGGAAGAGGAAACCCTGCTCAAGCATTGCCTGTATTTAACGCACCTTTCTATTCAAATCAAATGTTCCACCCTTACTATGTTCAGCATCAAGTCCAACCATCTCATCAAAACGCAAAGGCTTCATCACCGTCTCACAGGCAACATGAGTCCCATAAACTGAGGGAAGCACAATTTAGTAGCAACAGTTTTTTTACCTCACAAAAGCAGCATGTCTCACCATCGCCTCAACAATGCAAGCTCGAGGGTGAAGCGAACGTAGAGAATGCTGCATCTCCTGCTGCCGCTCATGCTCAGAACAGTGTTTATGGGCAGACTTTTTCGGTTCCATTTCAACCCGTCAACTTTACCTTGATGCCTTATGTGACAATGGGTGGTGGTGGCAATGGAAACAGTGTTGAGCAATCCCAGCAGCAGGGCTTAAAGGGTGGAGTTGAGCTCATCCCATCTAAGTCATATGGCATATCATTTTCCACCATCACTGGAAACAACGGCTCGGGTACATGCTTGAATTTTTCATCCAGGGAACAAAATCCTGCAATATTTCAAAGCCTCCCAGATATGGCCCAGCACGGGTATAAAATCACACCAGCACCTCAAGCTGCACAGCAAAAGAATCACCACCACCAAGTATCCCAAGGGAAGACCGATGGTGGTTCAAATAACGCTGAAGATGGGTCAAGAGCTGCTTCTGGGAAGTCTTCATCAGGTATTGGGCAGAAGCAGACCCTTGTTTTCGACAATTCATCGAGAGCTCTCAACTTCATGTCATCAAATTCTCAACAGCAGAACATGTTCCAATTTCAGCTGCAGAACCCACATCAGTTGCAAAAGCAGCAACCTGCTATTGCCGACAAAGTCCCGAAAAGCCCCCCAGTTTCCTCACAAGCTCTAATACAAAGCAATAGCCATCACCAATCTCCTCAGTTGAAGAACTCAACAGTCATGAGTTTTCCCCTGCAACAAGGAAGAGATTCACAAGGTCAGACTCAGATATCGTTCGGGAAACCCGAAATCAGCCTTAGCACCACAAGGGCAACAGAGACCCACTAACAACCACTCTTCATCAATTTCTGCATGACAGTCACATAAACCCAGAATTCTTCGCCGAGCAGTAATGGCCCTAATCTTCTACTCTGCTTGTAGGAGGAACTTACCATCAATCTTGAGCACATGTCCCAGCCACATTTCTGAACTCAAGTACTAGAATAACATTTGCCGCAGCATATGCTGTGACTCTGCTAATTACTTGCTCTACAAGTCTCTCAGTCAACAATATTCTCCGTTTCACCGGTATTAAATTTTTGATCCCGAAAAGGGTGGTGCAGCTCCGGCGGCACGCTATCTCGAAGAACGAAAACTTGTTTAAGATCAGTAACCCTAGTTGTTGCTGACAAAGTGTAAGTTTGGGATCTCATCTGATGGTGATGTGTAAATATGATAAAGCTTTTTTCTTGACCATGAAGCAAAGCACTCAAATTCTTTTTCTGTACAAAATTATGAACAGCAATTTTATCCCTTTTTTTAATTATTATTTATGCATATCATTACTTGTAATTTTGTCCAGCAGGCTTGAATTGACCTGCATTTTAAGAATAAACCAAACTCACTAGCACTAATTAAAAGATTAAACAACTTAATCCAATCCTAAATCTGATTCTCCTCGCCTTTATATATAAAATCGAGTTGTTAAGCCTTGGAAGCATGAACTTCTTGATGGTTGGTTGCCTGGAAATAAAGATAATCGGTACGCGCTTTACACATAGCAAACAAACCACACGTCGTTCATAGAGACTGTAAATGTAAATTTTGGATTTGTTTTCTCATGAAGATTGAATTTTGTTCTTGCGAACGATGTTTTTATTGAATATGATTAAGCATGAAATGGAAAAAAGTACACAAAATCTGACTCATTTGGATGTCTCCCATCTACTTCTGAAGGAGAGAGGCCACATTGAGCTTCACATCTTCTTTGGCTTGTTTATCAAATGGCTCCTCGCCTATATACAAATCCAGAAGCGATCGGCACAGGAGCTTGCTCTCTATGCTTCCCACCTCCTTTCCGTCAACTGCCAGAGTTTTACATACGTTAAGGTTAAACATAATCTTAAATCTACGAACTAAAATTAGAGCAAACACTTGCTGCAAACCGTTATGAGGAATCGGTGAAAATTAATATCATCTGTTGTGATATACTTTGAAGGAACTGAAACATAAGTGAAAAGAAAAATCTTACTTGTTGTGCGAAGTACATAGCCCCGTTCCCTTGAGAGATCTATTATAGATCCCTTAGGTATTTTATATTCGTCTTTGAATTGGGACGTGAACCTACAATTAATCGGGCTATTAGGTTGATAAAATTGTAATGCTAATTGTGACAGTCTGCAAATCAAGTCTTACAAACAGAAAACAAGAATATTTATCAAGTGAAGACAAAAATAGCAAATGCAAGCTGAAAATAAAATGATTTACCTTTTGAGCAATTCTTTGTTGTCGGATCCTCCAAACTTCTGTAGTCTGCTACCCACAGACTCCTCAAAAGCACTACGTACAGAACCAATGCTCAATCTGCCGTAAACTATTTGAAGCCTAACTGTCATACATATATCAGCTTCCAGCAGATCATCACTATACTCCATGTCATTGAGTTCCAAAATGGACAATTTCCCATATTTCTCGCCAAGCAAATTCTTTATGTCATTATCATCAGCATAAACACCTGCAGATGCACACAACTAGTGCAATGAGATGAAACGCAAAGGCAGTCCACACGGATAACATGGACTTAAGGGCTACTGTTGTGCTAAGAGCCCCAAGAATAGCAGGAATAAGAAAACAGACATTATTATGTATATGAGGAATCAAATCGTGTGAAGCACCAGGTCTCTACAATAAGTCACCAACATCGATATTGCCATGACACGTTAATTTTGACCAAAAGTAATTAACTATTAGCGGTATTACTTCTCATTGCCTCAAGTACCATTTAATTCTGCAAACCATAAAAAACCCAGAAAAAAACTATTCGTTCCAACATATAATTAGCAAATTCTTAATCCCCATTTTTTATAAACGTATAATCAACATGAAACCAAGCAGGGTTATAGTAAACTTAGCAGCATCGCTGCTTTTGTTCCAGAGTAAATATCATCTGATAATATTAGGCAATGTTTTTTGAATTTTAGTCAATTTAATCACCAGGAAATTACAAAGCTTCAATCTTCTTAGCATTTCAGATAACCAACAGGTAGAACGCATCAATCATCTATTTCCAACATTGACCAGATTACACTACTTCCACAGCATTGTATACAAAAAATTCAATTCTGTTTCCGAAACCAACCAAACCAATACAAAGTAACTAGCAAAAACCGACCAAATAATACTACTTCTACAGCATTTTACCCGAAAATTTCGAATCATTTTCGAAAACCAACCAAACAAAACAACAACGAAGCCTTATCGCACTAAGTGGGGTCGACTGTCAAATCCTAGAACGCCACTGCACCAAGTCTTCCGTTACAAACCATTACAAAACTAATCCATCCAACTGAACACGAAGTAGCTAACAAAAAATTGACTTCTTTCTACACTGAGCTAACAATGTAAGCTTTAAACACTGCAACGAAAATTTGGCAATGGAAATAATGAAATAAAAAAAATGCAAGATACGGAAATGATATACCAAATGAATAGACATCGATGTTTTTCAAGCCCATCACTCTTTTTCTCCGCAACCCAATTCCCAGAAGCCGCCGAGACTCCGCAAGAACGGAAGGAAACGAAGCACCGGTCTTGGAATCGACGACGGAGCTCGGTGCGTCGGTCAGAGAAAGTGATCCCCAAAGCGGCAGAGAGCGATTAGCAAAGAAGGAATTGAGTGCGTTCTGGAGAAATGGCTGTGTGGAGCTGTGGGAGGCAGCAGCGACCCCGGCGACTACGGCCACCCCGGAAGCTACGGTGACGGCGGCGGCGGCGGCATAGAAAGGGCGTGATGTGGCGGAGAATGAGTGGGTGGGAGTGCGCTTCGGGGGCTGAGAAAACGAGGAGGGGAAGCGAAAAGACACCATTGTTTTCTTCTACTCTGAAATTTGAAAGGTCGGTGAAGTGGGCAGAGTTCTGTACTTATGGAGGTTGACACATGACCGGCACGTGACATACGGTAATTGGCTAATGGATTTGTGTCTTGGGCCTAGAAAGTGGGCCTTGGCAGATGTGCAGTATTATGGGTTTGGGTTTTGAGTTCATTTGGGCTTCATCTATGTCCATCAACGAAACCAACCCTAGGAAGTACAATATATAGGGTAGTGGATCAATACATTTTAACTTGATCCACTACCCGTAACGTGCATAAAAGTAGAGGTAAAACCGTTACACCTGGATGGATCAATGGGGGATTATCTCTCCAAATTTATTGGACTTAAAGTCGTTAAGTTTGGCTAATATCAATGCTCTAGTGGCTCTACCATAAAAAGTCTTCAACGAAACCAACTATGGGAAGTACAATATATAGGGTAGTGGATCAATACATTTTAACGTAATCCACTACCCATGACTGTGAATGAATTTCGAGATAAAACCATTACACCTGGATGGATCAATGGGGGATTATCTCTCCAAATTTATTGGACTTAAAGTCATTAAGTTTGGCCAATATCAATGCTCTAGTGGCTCTATCATAAAAAGTCTTTGTCTTCTTAGCTAGCAACTTGTATCCAATTGAAAGTTTAGGTTTTGCTTTGAACCCTCTATGGCTCTATACTTGTTGACAAAATTTGGAAGTAAAGCTTGTTAATTGATTTTTTTTGTAAATTTTGAACAAAACTAGCTAGGAACAAAATGAGTTTTTGGTTGCTTGTATAAAAAGTTAGACAAAAAACAACAAATTTAGTGGATATTATTTGCCTAAATCGACTTTTAAATTTATGAGTGTCAAAATATTATCCTTTATTTTTTATTTTTTATAAGAAACGATAGAATGATATTTTGTTAATCAACACAAACAAATACAAGAGTGCCAATTGGGTATAGTACTCTAGTAACCAATAAATTAATCTAAAGTGATTTTGCACAGATACACAATTGAGTAAAACCCCTATATTATAACCACAATCACAACAATAAAATGGGCACCAGTATAGATTTTGTCACAAACGGTAGTAGGCGCAACAAACATATATCGACACATGTTAGTCAGACTCATCGATGAATAGTGAGCCCACATAAGGTCATCGCAAAAGAGTGAGATCATATAAAGTCATTATTAATTGATGAGACTCCATAATTCATCGTTCTCAAGCAAAGACCACAACACTTGCTAAGGAAGACAATAAAAACTAAATTAATCCAAAAACAGAACCACCGGTCGGGCAATCATTGTGGACTGTGGAGAACACTCTATCAAAATGACAATCACATCTTCCGCAGGTCAAGGTCAGGCCGCCAGTTCTAGACGTCTAAGACGGTGGAGACACAAGAACTTGGCACATAGGGCGGCGGAGCCGCCGATCTAGGGAACAACTTATCTCTTACATTGAGTTTTAGAATATGGTTACTATGAATGGCGTATTCTGTTACATCTTACGTGTTTAGAAATGGTAGCTATCATGAGTGAGACTTTGTTGATCCGGAATACATATTTAATACTCTTAATTACTATGTAAAAGTATTTAAATAAATACTAATATATTTATGGTCGATCTGTCCTTTACGAGTTGTGGTTGTAATACAGTCGTTAAAAATAAATATGTAGCATTGTATGCTCATTTGCTCCAACAATACAGAAACCTGTAACAAGACGAAAAAAGACACGCAAATTGTCACCAAATTAAGTATGGCATTTTTCTTTAAAATGATAGATTATTATAGTAGGCAGAGCGTTATCTTCAACTCACTACATTTCAGATTTAAATTGTCTTCTTCTTTTCAGTATAAAAAGAGTTTTACTTTTTATTTTTATTTTTATTGATGAGGTTACCATAAGAGGAAACCATGACTGTAACTTTTGTGATAAATATATTGTTTGTCGCTAAGTTACTATATTGAGCTTTTTTCGGCCTTGAAAGAGTGGACTGTTGTGACAAAGTCACCAGCTAGTCCCTTTTTTGACAAACAAAAGAAAAGGAAAACCAACAAAAGCAACAAACTACAACACAACAACAACAACAACAAAGGCCAGGCTAAAAACTAAAAATATAGGAAGGCTGTAAACAACAACAACAATCCAACCTAACAACCAATACCAAAGGGAGAGCAACTACATAGAGATTATCCATTCTTGAAAAATAGGCATATTCGCAATAGAGAGCGGAGTCTACATAGAACATAGCCGCAAGTGTATAGAGCTAACAATGGTTTTAAAGACAATAATGAAGTGGAGGTGTTCATTTCTAAATTTACAGTTATTACTTTTCTACCAAATAGCTAGTATAGACAACAACTTAGAAACACAACTTCCTAATAGTAACATTCAACGACTTACTCGTTCAATTATTAGCATCCCAAGTGATAAACTCATGCGAATCCAAAAGTGAGATCAAAGAATAGGTTAAAATCCTTTTAAAGCATATTTGTGGCTTTTATGTTTTTTTTTAATCAAGAAGCATATTTTGATATTAGTTCAACGGAATCCAATATTTAATAAATTAATAGCGTGCAATTCTTGACCAAAAAATAGCATGCAATTCTTGACCTAAAAAATAGCATGCAATTAGAATACTAATTTTATTTGATTTCGATCCTATAAACTATTAAGCATCGCCACGAGAAGTAAAAATATTAAAACACAGGTGCGGACAATAAGGCATCTTCAGTACAGTTTACAAGAATCTAATTGTATTCAGAAAATTTCTCAGATATGTCGTTGCCTCGTTGTTATAATAATGTTCTTAAGTAACAATATTACTGTATAAACTCGAATTATTAGCATAACATGATTATATTTATATAATACCAAAGACTATTAATAATTATTTTGCTATTAATAGTATAATGTGAGTATTAATGTTATTTGAGAACACTAACTACATTAACAATATTATCTCAGAGCATTTTAACTATTTTTTCGGGGTATATATAGTCAAATTATGATTTTGGGAGATTTTGATTATTTTAATAAATTTAGGGTTATTCAAACCGGATTTCAAGTGACCTCTGAAATTTAAACTGTATTCAATCAAGATTAAAATCCTTAAAAATTCGGGTGTATTCAATTAAGATTTTAAAAAAAATTATACATTACAGATGTATTCAATTAGAAATTGATTTTTAAAAAGTTGAGGAAATTGGAGAGATGTCATAGTGTATTCGAGGGGAATTGGAGAATTTCTAATTAAAATACACTATGAAATCTTTTTAATCAACTCGAATTACTCAACGTTTGTGAATTCTTTAAAATCAATTTCTAACATAATGCACCTAAATTTTGTAAACTTCTTTAACATTCTAATTGAATACACCAAGATTTCTAAGGATCTTAATAAATTATCTTAAAATATTGATTGAGTACACTTTAAAATCAGAGAATCACTTAAAATTCTGATTGTATATCCTAAATTAAATAAAAAAAATTAAAATCTCTCAAAATTCATTGAATACACATTCGTTATTCTATGAAGTCAAATGGCCATGTAACTGGTTTTTTTTAAAGGTACGTGGGACTATATTATATAATGAAATATGTTCAAAGTATAACAAATAATTATTGCTGTGACAACATTTTTCAATTTAAAATTTTTTTTTTAATTTTTTTTTTTTAAGAGGGACAACTGGTGGCAAGTCACAATTATCTATTATTTTTAGGCCCTTAGAGGCTATGAAATTTCACCTTGTTCGTAGCCATAGTCAAACAGATTTACCAGCTCAATATATCGAACACGAAACCTTTCATTTTTTTATTTATTGGGAAATCACAGTCTATGCCCTTACTATTGGGCCACTTGTGGTTTCAAATTTTAATGTTTGCTATCCACTAGTTCTTGCTCCATGCATAAAGGAAATGAACCAAATAAAAAATGAAAGGGGCCTCCAAAAGTTCAAGCCAATTGCTTCAATAATTTACAAAAATTGATAAACCGCGTTGTAATTATTTATGTTTATTTTCTATACATTCGACAAAAATTGAAAGCTGCACCACTTAACAACGTAATTATATTTTAATACGACCATGCACTTATTTATTCATACTTGGTCCCTAAGTTAGAAAGAGGATCCATTCTCTCTGGGAGAATTTCGAGGATCTTCAAATCATGTTCGTTCATTGTATATCGCGTGATTAGTTTTCGTTGGGTATTGTTTATATTTAAAATAATTTTTAACCACATGATGTACGATGAATAGACACGATCGGAAATCCTCACAAAATTATTTTGTTGTTTGTTTTTTTTTTCCTTACGAAAACTAATAAACAAAAGGAAATAAGCATCTTCATTGTGACATCCCACATCGCCTAGAGGAGTGATCCTTATATGTATATTCTTATCCCTACCTAGCATGAGGCCTTTTAGGAGCTCACTGGCTTCGAGTTCCTTTAGAACTCTGAAGTTAAGCGAGTAGCACGCAAGAGTACTTCCAGGATGGGTGACCTATCGGGAAGTTCTCGTGTGAGTTCCCAAAAACAAAACTGTGAGGGTGTGGCTGGGGTCCAAAGCGGACAATATCGTGCTACGGTGGAATTGGGCCCAGGAAGTGGTCCCGCCCGGGCCGGGATGTGACAATTTGGTATCAGAGCCTAACCCTGGCCGCGTGTGTGCCGACGAGGACGCCAGGCCCCTAAGGGGGGGTGGATTATGACATCCCACATCGGCCAGGGGAGTGATCTTATATGTATATTCTCATCTCTACCTAGCACGAGGCATTTTGGGAGCTCACTGGCATTAGGTTCCTTTGGAACTCCGAAGTTAAGCGAGTAATGTGCAAGAGCACTCCCAGGATGCGTGACCCATCGGGAAGTTCTCGTGTGAGTTCCCAAAAACAAAACCATGAGGGCGTGGTTGGGGCCCAAAGTGGACTATATTGTGCTACGGTGGAGTTGGGCCCGGGAAGTGGTCCCGCCCGGGCCGGAATGTGACAATTTGGTATCAGAGCCTAACCCTAGCCGCGTATGTGCC